TCTCTCAGGGACACTATAGTCACTAGAACCACTACGGCTTAATTTAGTGGTTTTGGTGTCTATAGCCTGTCTGACTTTTCAAGCAAAATGGCAGTGTTTACATTGCTGTCCAGAACACCTCTAGTGGCCATCTGAGTGACTAAGTGCTTCCTAGTCAAGTGCTGCACCGTGTAGAACACTTACGTATAACGTCTCCAAGTTCTGCACGGAGTTGCTAAACATTCCCCATAGAGATGCTTTGATTCAATCTCTATCTCTATATAGAGATGTGTTTTGCTGTGCATGCGCATTAGCCTTCCAATGCTTTTCCATTGGAAAGAATTGGATTGGCTGAGATAATCAAGATTGCAGGGTAGATAAAAACTTCTTTCCAATGCAATGAAATGGGCTGGTCACCTAAACAGACACAAAAAATATAAAAAGGTGAGAGCACTCTAAAACATGCAGTTAAGCTTATTACCAGTATTGTCTTGGATTCAACTCTAAAAGACAGCAAGACATAAAAAGAAACATAGGGTAATATTGTCAAAATATAAATATTGTCCATAAAATACTGGTAAAACTCACATGTTTCTGAGTCACTTATATAAGCTGACTCAGACTAAAAACTTGTAGTGGAGATGAAGATCTTTTAAACTGGACGTCTTTTAAATGAGTTCCCTCTGGATGTTGATCTTACAATTATTCCAGGATGCATAGTCAAAATAAAACTTGTTTATTCAACAGACACACTCACTGAGACAGACACACACACACACACACACAAACATTCTCTTACACACTAACACATTATTTGTTTAATTTAAGTCAATCCAGCCTCCCTACATTTAGAAGAGCTGGAGTGGATTCTTCCTCTGGGTCCAATGTGGCTGCTGTTATCTTCGTGCTCTTCTTGCCCTGCTCCTTTGCGCACGGTTTAGAGATGCTGGGGCCAGAGTGATATCATATTTTGGCTCCCAGCAGAGTAAAGAGCAGAAAGATAAAGGCTCCCTTACCGCCTCTGCCTCCATTGTTCACAGCCGCCCGCCTTGTGGAGCACAGGGCTGACAAACACCCAAGTGCCAGGACAAAATTCCTAGTCACCATGGCGCCTGGGATTTGTTCAGATATTTTATATATATATATATATATATATATATATATGTGTATATATATATATATATATATATATATATATATATATATATATATATATATATATATATATATATATAATATATTGTATGTGTTTGCACCATGGGTGATAGGTAAGCTTATTTTTAATACTGGAGAGCATTGGACTGGCAGGGAAAGCTGCGGTTACACTGGCATGGCGTGGGAAAAAAGGTGATTAAAAACACATTTTCCATGTAATTCGAGGGGGCCGTCACTGCAACAGACACTGATTTGACACACTGACAGACACAGACACTGATTTGACACACACACAAGCTCATTGACAGATGCACACACTAACTGACAGGCAGATTCCGTTTCCCACCATCACTGAAAGGCGTTGAGGGGACAGAGCAGAGCAGCTCCCTTGCTCTCCCTGAGCCAACCACCTGACCATGCACTCCCTGGTTTGGCCTTCTGATGGCCTATTCTCTCCATGAATTGGCCACCCACCCGCCTATGCACTCTTTGAGTAGGCCAGCCACTTTGGGGGCTGAACGGGCTCTGACAAAACCCTGGGATTTGTGGCGCCCTGGTTAAGATAATGATATATTGCAATACCCTTTTTTCTCAGTACTGCAATAGATAATGATACATTGTAATGCCCTTTTTTATTTTCTCCGTACTGCAATAAGGAGGACAATCACTGTGGAGACTGTCCAATGTCCAAGGAGAAGTACTTAGTCCAAAAGGAAGGGCTTTAAACTGAAAATGCCCGTTTAATAAAAAAGTCAGTTTGTCATAAAGACTGTCAGTAACAGAGGCTTTCCAAATGCTGAAATCTGAGCATAGGCCCCCTCCTTTCAAATTTCAAGCGTTATGGGAGGATGGGCCGTTGAGTGAGCTTTGACCCCTTTTTCTTTCCTCCCTCTCTATTCTTCATAACGTTATGTCTCTCTCTCAATTTCAATGGTCTGGACCAGTGATTTGATGCTTCTATGTACAGAAGGTGGTAGCGACAACTTTGCCAACTGCCACAAGTGCTTTTGTAAATTCCTCGGAATCCCAAACTGGCCTTGCCATGCTTACAGATGTCTGTAACTTTAGGCCAAGTGTTACCCCTCAGAAACACATAATGATAGTGCCTAGGGGGCCATCACACAACGCTATAGAAACATATAGCTTATATGCTGTTTCCATTGCACTATACTGAAGAGCCGCATTAATGTGTTGTCCGAGGGGCAGACACAGACAGTCTTATGCTTGCCAGTACCTGCCTTGGTAGTTTCCAAGCTACACCTAGAGTCGAAACGCTTATCACATCATGTACTGTTTATTCACTGGTCAAATCACGAATGTACCATTTTTTTCCTTGTTCATGTCTATCTCTGTACCTGCACTGTACTTGTATTTCTCTGCTATACATTGACAAAGTCAATAAAAATAGATTGTAGACAATGCTTTCGCCATCCTTAAGATCCTCTTCAGTATGCTCTATCCCTAGTTTGAGAGTACGAAACACAGTTAGGGCTACAACTGGATTAAGCCTGGTGCCTGCTTCAACATAAGTTTTAGCCATATTCAGGTCAATTCTACAGTCCTTAGACTCTCTCAGAGAACCAGCAATATCAACCGGCAGGGTAGTACGTTTAGCCAATCTTATTAAAACTTTGTCTACCCTGGGGGCAGAATCCCAGGCCACAGCATCTGATGCATCAAAGGGATATAGGCGAGAAATTCTTCCTTGAGGAGACGGCTTCTTATCAGCCGTTGTCGATTTGTCTAAGATGAAATATTTAGTTGTCTCTTGACAGGATACGTGACTCTCTCTCTTCCTTCTAAGATCGGAGAAGTATTTGCTTGATGTCTTTGATTCTTTCAAATTCAGAGATCTGCACACTATGGAGGTGAGGTCGACGCTGGCCGGATGTAGTATGTCGAGAGAGGGCTGTACTTCTTCCTCTGAAGAAGAGGCCTCATGAAGTGATTCCGCTTCCATATCTGCATCGGAGGAATCATCCTTGGACCAAACAGGATTTTGGTATCTAGACCTTTTGGATGACTTACTGGCCTCTATAATACCCTAGGACATTAAAGAGCCTGCTTTCAATCAGGCTGCGCAGAGACACTTCCCTTCTATAGCTTTTGAGTTACATGCTTCCAGGGGATTTTTGCTTTTGAAGCTCTACATTTCTACCCCGTTGAGCTATAACGAAAGGCAAATATGAGTACACTGCTCTCTTTTGTTTATAAACATAAGTTGAAAAAGAGATAAAGGTGTACATTTATGGCTTGCATATTGCTCTCAAATTGTGACCCTTTTCTCAGCAATAGAAGAATTCATATTGGAGGTCCTGATGGATAAAACGACATATGAAAGACCATTACAATATTCATAAATAGAACTATACATAGGTACTTAGGAAACATGATCACACACTTAGACTGGAAGAAAGGAGATTTAGTCTAAGGAAAAGGAAAGGGTTTTTTTATAGTGAGAACAAGAAGGATGTGGAATTCTCTACCTGAAGAGGTGGTTTAATCAGAGTTTATACAGATGTTTTAAATAGCAATTGGATAAATACTTGCAAAAAAACATAATATTCAGGGATTTAATTTTTAATTAGTGGGGTAATAGCTTCTTCATCCAAGGAGATATCTGATTGCCATTCTGGTGTCAACAAGAATTATTTTCCCGGTTTGTTGCAAAATTGGAAGTGCTTCAAGCTGTTTTTAGGATCAACAGCAAAAACAGAAATGAGAAAGTTTGAACTTTATGGACGCAGGTTTATTTTTAGCTGCGTAACAATAGAAAAGGAAAGAAGTGAAAACATTTTTTTAAGGTGAGTATCACTTTAAATGAACTGTAGCTATAAATACTTACAAGAAAGTCAATTTGGAAAAACTAAACCAAAACAGCAAAGAATCAAAGGAATATACACATCTAACAGCTGAAAAGAAAATCTAGGCCATAAAATTCCGGTTAAAGAAGCTTTAAAAGGACTCTGTGACCTTATTAATGATGTCAGTGCAAGATAGCCACCATTGAACTACTGAACTACTGCGCGTGTTCATCCACAGACTATTGCGCATGAGTGCCGTGTCATGCGTCCTTCATTAAGTCCGGAGAGCGGGAATGAACAGAGATTATAAAAAAGGTTAAACGGTTTTAGGCCTATACCACGGAATCATTACAAAATAATTCAGCAGAAATTCTGACCGAATTCTGCCAAACTGGAAAAAAGTTAAATATGAAAATTAGCAAAGTCAGAAAACACAGCGAATGATGGGGGGAAAAGAGGCCAAGGATGGATTCCAGCCAACACTAGGTCACCAGGGAAGTACAGACCAGTAAATCCAGGCAGATTTACCCCTGGCCACTTCAAGGGGACACCTTTGCACAAGGCTTATTCCTGAAACTTTCTAAGGAAGAAAGTCTGAACTCTGTTAGGGCAGGGGGTAACAACCGCCAGGTAAGCCAAACAGAAAATTAGGAAATACCAAAATTTCTCCCAAAAACTTTGTCCTATAGGGGATAGGACAGAAACATAGACTGAGAGCTGGGGGGCAGAATGGGGTACTTAAATACTTGTTTTTATTAGGTCCCTGTCTATCTGGGGATGGGAGGAGCTAACCCATTGTTGTGCTGCCATGGATATATCCATGAAATATATAATATGTATATGCATATATATATATGTGTGTGTGTGTGTGTATATATATATATATAATATGTATATGCATATATATAATGTGTGTGTGTGTGTGTGTGTGTGTGTGTATATATGTATGTGTGTTCAAGTAGAGATTGTAGCCATATTAGTCCAGTGATGTAGATGTAAAAACAGATAACATTTGTATGTTGTAATACCTTTTTAATTGGACTAACCACATTTCTATAATGACAAGCTTTCAAGAGAACCTCCCTTTCTCAAGTCTGAAGCATTTCTTCAGACTTAAGAAAGGGAGGTTCTCCCGAAAGCTTGTCATTAAAAAATTCTGTTAGTCCAATAAAAAAGGTATTACAACATACAAATGTTACAAGATACAAATGTTATGTTTTTGTTTATATATATATATATATATATATGTGTGTGTGTGGTTTTATATACCGGTAGTAGGCATGTGTATATGCTTACATTAAACAAATAATTGATTATACCAAATGATGAAAAGCTATGGTGAATAGATTATTGGAGAGGAAGAAGGTTTAAACCTTTAAGAGAGGTACCAGGGGTGGACATTTTTCCTAGATATGCATACCACACCACTCTTCTATTGTAAGAATCTATAAATCAGAGCTTTCCTAGATAGACCTCTGTGGATGATATTAACCCATGCATTTTGAGATGAGTGTTTCTGTGTGTTATTGATACATTCTGTGTCTCTAATATAATACAGATCCATGTAGAGACACCCAGTCTGGCAGTGTCTCACTCTTTGTCCTCTCCCTCTCCAACATACACACATCCTATCTATCTCCTGCTCTCCATCCCTCCTCCTCCCCCCTCCTCTCCTCCTTAGCCATCCACAGGGAGTTAGTCATGTGACCGGGGGCGGGGCTTACTGCTTGTCTGCAAAAAAAAAAAAAAAAAGCCATTTTGTAAGAGGAAAAAAAAGAGCAAAAGAAAAAAGAGAGAGAGGGAGAAGGAGAGAAAGGGGGGAGAGACAAAGGGAGGGGAAGAGAGAGAGAGAAGCGGCTAGCAAGGGGGGTGGGATAGACTGCCAAGGAAGGAGGTGAGGAGACAGCTGGGGGTGGGGGGGTGAATGAGAGAGACTGCTGGAGGGAGAGATAATCTAAGACACAGGCGGACCACAGAGAGAGCAGGATCCAGCATCACCAGGTAAGGGCTCTGGAGGGACCTGGGAGGCTGTGTACACCAGAGAGGTGGAGGGGGAGAATGAAATGTAAGGCAATCTGCTTTCAGGGTGCCCCTTGGTAATCCCCACTACATATTTGTATACATAAAGAGTTGTACGACCTCCCACTTTAGCAGCTTTGACCCCCTCCTCCCCCCCAGTCCCCTTCCCATTTATCCATGCTACCCATAGCCCCTTCATCCCCCTGCCCTGGGCTCCATGGCCTGCTATGTGGAAGTGCCATATGTCAGGCTGTCACCCTCTCCCAGAGCAGTGCTAGAGGTGTTAGACATTACATGTGGGCACTGCTACCATCCCACCCCCCACACAAACCATGCCTCCATCTGGGGGGGAGATGGGAACAGGTGACAACTGTCAAATTATCCTGTGCCCCCCTCCTGGCAGGTAATTAACCACCGACCAGGGATGGTTCAGAAAGCCTTCTTGAACATTGAAACTGCTGACATACCTACTACAATCAGCTCTGTTTACATTCATAGCATGTTGTTTAGGTACACAGATACAGCTCTGCACCTTGACTGTAAATTACTCACAATAGTAAAACACAGGCCAGTGCTCACAATATCAGTGGATCATCCTTTAATTTCATATTAGAAAATTGCACATGCAAACATATTTCAGTCCATCTTTTGTGAAGTTATGTTATACAATGTGTTTGGATATTCATATAATTTTAGACTTGTTATAGATCTGTATATATTACAAATAAAAATTATCAAGCTGTCTCTCATTTTATCTAACTATTATCAAATAATTAATCACCCAAGACCTTAAGATGGCTTATCGATTTTTATTGTTACCCCCCCACCCCCTCAAATAATAGTATGGAACAGAAACTATGTAATTTATGCATACTTTGATACTGTGTACTTAGAGTCAATCTGTTTTTTCAGCATACTGATTCTTTATTGCCATGCTTAGTATATATGTGAATGTACATAGTATCATAGGACAATATCTCAATTTCATATACATATATATATTTATTTATTAAGCCACAAATACCCTTTTAGCAATTCACTTACAACTAAGGAATATATTGTTGGCCTGAAAAATGAAAGATGGAGACTGTTTAGGAGGGTGCTCAGGAAACCGTTTAAGATTATTTTTAGTTAAAAATAAATATGGTCAAATACAGTATAGACTGCATACAAAGCAAACATTGACATGTGAAACAAAATTTTAAACATAATTTTTTTGTTGTATTTTGACCCTTTAGTGTGATGTGGTACAGACCAATTTAATCTTTTGAGGCACTGCATCTTTCAGTCTGCGTAGAAGGTGCTGAACCTTTATGTGTGTGTGTGTGTGTGTATGTGCGTGTGTAGTCACTTGTGAATGTACTGCATAGCTTTTTACTGTAGTCTGAAGCATGTTAAACTATTTCATTGTTGTACAATAGAAAGTACACTACAGTTTAACCTTGACAGTGCTGGAAAAGCTTTATAGCTTGGTTGTAAATAGTTTAAATGAGGCAAAAAAAAACCCTTCCCCTCCTCCTTTCATGGAATTTTTTTCAGACTGTCTGAATTTTCTGTTTGGTTTGTTGCATAAAAAAAGTACTGAGCGGGGGACCCCTAGAAGGAAAGCAAAGAGTGCATATAGGGGTGAGATGTTTAAACATACCAGACCTCTCCGTTTAATATAAAGAGAAACTGTTATCCCAACAACGTCCGTCCACTTCCAGACAGACCCCAGGGTCTCTAACTACGTCAGTGAGTGTGAACAGCATATAGCACTATGTTTTGTGTATAATACTATCAACCTCTGTATGCCTGCCACGTACAGATAACAACACAGTAGATTTAGATATACCTTGTGTGCCATTAACGTATTTATTTTACGTATGCAGTACCAACAAATAGTGATTCAAGAGGAAAGCAGGCCTTTTGCTAATGAAATGGTTAATAAGCACGTAGAAATCCAGATTTGGATAGCTGATTAGAAACAAAGAGAAGGGAAAAAACAAAACAGGACATTTTAATTATTGTCATTCCAGGCGTTTTGGCATAATTGGTACAGCTTTTATCTATTTCTTACGAATAAAAATCCATTATTAGTTGCTTCTAGACAAGGCCGCTTTCAGTTTGCCCATTATCATCAAGTTGGGCTTTCTAATATAAGCCTTTTCTCTGTCATTTTTCCATTATTAGAAAATAAAGATAACATTTTAATATTTGGATTGTTTTTCCTCATGTATCGAAAAGTGTCTGCCCCATCCTTCCAGTCTTTCTGGCTACTTGTTTAGGTTATGTTCAAGATAATGCACAACTTTTTCACTGAATGGACTCTTAATTGTTATCATTCATAGTCAGGAGCGTATACAAAATAACGCTCTTGTTTTCTTGAGTTTCCTGCAGACCTCCTGTGAGGCTTGGTTTTCCGATGCTCTTGTTTGAAAGGTACATGTAAGAACATATATCTGTTGGTCCTGTTTGTGCCTGAAAAATGATTAAATTTCAACATACAGCAATAACTGTACTAAGGCTACAACAGCTACTGTTTGCTGCAATAAAGTGTTAATCATAATAATTTGTAGTAATGAATATGATTTCAAAGTATATTTAAGTTTTTTGCAACAATTCTACTTATTCCTCAACTGACATTTGATTCAGTGAATGGACCTTTTTCGGCCAACAAGCTGCATTTGTGTGCATTGGGCCTTCAGATTTGCTTGTCTGAACTATATAGAATTATGCAAATGTAGCCAAACTAAGAATCACGAGGGAATTTAGAAGTAGACCTTAGAATGATCAACTGCCATTAACTGATAATGCCAGGTGAAAAAAAGTTCATGGTTTATGATTCCCCTTGGTTTTAGAAGGGGTGGTTTTAATTTAAATTGTGATTTTTAAATGTAAAGACTTTTTCTTGCTGGCTGTTATAATCTTTAATATTTGTATCCAAATGAAGATTAGAATAATACATTTTCAGATGATGTAATGAAATTATTAGGGAACAGTACTGAAATGGGCTTCTGGTAGATGAAATACCAGGAGCTGAAGAGGATCCAGTGGATGCAGATGGCAGTGGCTGTGAAGGACATCTTCAAGCAAGCAAAACTAACGTTCCCACTGCACCCCGCAGACACCAAGAAGCAAAGTCATCATCTAGTTTAAGAACAACTTAAACTAGAGGTTTTCATTGAGTGTACATAGATTTGCAGAATAACAATGGAATTAAGGTCTTTTTCTGAAGTTTGTATGTGTATTTTAGAACAATTTTGCAGTGAAAAAGTGCATGTTATCTCTGCAGACTCAAGTTCCATTAACTTGCATTAATGGAATTGATTTACCAAAATTGTAAATATAGCATGAATATACAGCCTCACCCTGCATACGTAATCCATGTTACATGCTGAATAACCTTTATACTATAATGTATCTTAAAGGGACTCTTCAGTGACAGGAAAACATATCCATGGTGCTGAAGTGATTAAAACCCCTTCAGTGACTTACCTGAATCCAGCGCTGATGTCCCTCGGCGCTGGGTCAGGCTCTGCCCATGCTCCTCCCCTGCCGGCGTGAGCCAGTGGGGGAGACTCAATGTGCATGTGCGGCAACGGTTTTGCGCGCATGCATTTGACCTCCACATAGGAAAGCATTATTCAATGCTTTCCTATGGGGATTCCGGCGACGCTGGAGGTCCTCTTGCATCGCGTGAGGACATCCAGTGTCGTTTTAAAACACTTTTCTTGTTTCCCCCCCCCTCCAAATGCATTTATATTAAAAGATAGTTGTATGTATGTAAAGTTGTCCTCATTACATCTGGGGACAGAAACAGCTGATTGACAGCCAGGGTTTTCTTCTGTTTCCATTCGTTCCACAAAGCTTACATAAGTGGCTTGCGCCTCCATTCTGTCCTTCTCAATGAGCTGTACTACAACTTACTGAGATGCATTGGAAAGCCGTGAGGAGGGCTTCTCAATGAAAAGCCTCTGTTTGGTATATTTCCTGGCACAGGCTGAAAGTCTGAGTCAGGGAAAAAGGGGAAGGCAAATGTATTTTTATTTCATATACCCCAAAGAAAAAATACAGAAAATAATACATGCATGTTTTCTTTGGGGGTATATCTACTAAACTGTTGAAAACACAAACCAGAATTTC